AGGTTCACTTCGAGAACGTCCGTGTCCCAGTGGAAAACGTTCTAGGAGTCCCCGGTGGTGGGTTCAAGGTTGCCATGAACATTCTGAACAACGGGCGGTTCGGCATGGCTGCGGCTATGGCCGGCACCATGCGCGGGATCATCAGCAAAGCGGTGAGTGATTCCAGCAGAGCTGGGATGTATGGTTCCCCCTTTTTTTTCAAAGATCCTGGAATCGTGGAGTGGGAAGGGGGCCTCTGAGGCCATCCAGTCCAACCCCTTGATCAAGGTAGGAACCCAAATCAAAGCAGATCAGAAAATTGGGTGGGGCAGTCTTCTCTTGAAGGCCTCCCGCGTTGGAGCGCTCACCGCCTCCCTCTGAGGTCATGGGTTCCCTTGTCGTACTGCTCTAACAGTTGAGAAGTTTTTCCTGATATTCAACCGAAATCTGACCTCCTGCAGCTTGAGCTCATAATGACATGTCTCGCACTCTGGGATGATGGAGAACACCATCTGCCCCTCCTCTGGAGGACAGCCTTTCAAGTCTTATTTTGGAGCTCTCGCGTCTTCCCTCCGTCTTTTCTCCAGGCTAAACCCTCCCCAGTTCTTTGAGTCTTTCCTCCTGATAGGGCTTGGTTTCCAGCCCCCCTGATGTCCCTCCCTCCCCTCTCTCCCTGCCGAAATCCCTCCCTCTCCTCTGGACCTGTTCTGGCCGTGGCATCCTATCCTGTCTTGAGTCCCCCCCCCCTTTCTTTTCTGCCCCAAAGGTGGACCATGCTGCAAACAGGACACAGTTTGGGGAGAAGATTCATACCTTTGGAGGAATCCAAGAGAAACTGGCCCGGATGGCACTGCTGCATTATGTGACGGAGGTGAGCAAAGGCGGGTGTGTAAGTGCAGACCCTTCCACCGTGGGACGAAGGGGCCCACAGTGCTTCTCAGACACCGCTTGTCCTGTCCAGGGCTGAAGGCTGCCAATTTTTTTTATTTTGGACAACAGATCCCAGAATCCACGGGTGGTGCTGCCTGGGAGCTTCTGACGTTTCCCTGCAGAGAAGTCAAATTCTCCAAGCTCTGATCCCGGCCTGCCACCTTCCTTTTGCACCCCCCTACCCCCACCCTCGCAGATTAGCTAACATGCTTCCAAGCCTGGATTTCCAGTGGTCGGGATCAGAAGTTTGATAAGTTGATTTCATTAAAAAAAACTGGAATTAACCTCTGTGTCCCCCCCCCAGCCCTACACCTGATTAGAAAAACCCTTTCAGATCGTGTGGTGCCGTTTGGGCTGTAGAAAGCGTTCCCGGCCATCTATGGCCAGGGGATCTGAAGGTAGGCCGATTTGTGTGTCTGGACTACAGCGCCCAGAATCCCCAGGCAGCTATTCTGGGAGTGGTTGTCTAAAAACCCAACTTGGCCCCTCTCAAATACGTTCCGTAAGGATATAGATACCATGCTTCCAAGCCTGGCTTTCCAGTAGTAGGGATCAGAAGTTTAATAAGTTGGTTTCATTAAAAAAAACCTGGAGTTAACCTCTGTGTCCCCCCCCCCAGCCCTACACCTGATTACAAAAACCCTTTCAAATCGTGTGGTGCCATGTGGGCTGTAGAAAACGTTCCCGGCCATCTGGCCAGGGGATCTGAAGGTAGGCTGATTTGTGTGTCTGGACTACAGCGCCCAGAATCCCCAGGCAGCTATTCTGGGAGTGGTTGTCTAAAAACCCAACTTGGCCCCTCTCAAATACGTTCCGTAAGGATATAGATCTTGTCCAGTCATGTTCAACTCTAGGGGGCGGTGCTCATCTCCGTTTCCAAGCCATAGAGCCAGCGTTTTGTCCGAAGACAATCTTCCGTGGTCACAGGGCCAGTGCGAATTAGACACGGAACGCTGTTACCTTCCCACCGAAGTGGTCCCTATTTATCTACTTGCATTTGCATGCTTTTGAACCGCTAGGTTGGCGGGAGCTGGGACAAGCGACGGGAGCTCACTCCGCCGCGTGAATTCGATCTTACGACTGCTTGGTCTTTTGACCCTGCAGCACAGGCTTCTGCGGTTTAGCCCGCAGCACCACCACGTCCCTCTATTGTGACAGTAAACACACACAAACATACACAGATGCTCAACTGATCTCCTATCCCCCCACAGTCCATGGCATACATGATCAGTTCTGGGAGTGGTTGTCTAAAAACCCAAATTGGCCCCTCTCGAATATGTTCTGTAAGGATCTAGATCTTGTGATAATAGTAAACACACGCACACACAAGCATACACAGATGCTCACCTGATCTCCTTTCCCCCCACAGTCCATGGCATACATGATCAGCGCCAACATGGATCAAGGAGCGACCGACTTCCAGATTGAGGCCGCCATCAGCAAGATCTTTGGCTCGGTGAGTGAAGGAACTGGGCCGGATCCTGAGGCAATCCACCGGTCTCATTTCGGGCCAGCCGTTTTCTTGCAGCCTTCTTTTAACTTGCCAAACCGTTCTCTTTGACTGTCTGGAAATGGAACTGCCGTGCGCCCGTTTTACAGATGAGGAAGACTGAGTCCTTTGTGCTGTTTCTCTTTGCTTTCCTCAGGAAGCCGCCTGGACCGTCACGGACGAATGCATCCAGTTAATGGGTGGGATGGGTTTCATGAAGGTGAGTAAACTGGAAGAGTCCCCGCCCACCGTGGACAGACATGAAGACAGAGCTTTTAACGTTAATTTTTTTGAAGTACCGTGTTCGCTTGGATCACTAACTTCCCACTTATTACTTATTGTTTATTTTTGCAAGCATATGTTTAAAATAATGCCCCAAAACGGGGGGAAATGGGCCCAGATATGCTCCCCATGTTCTCTTTGGCTGTCTGGAAATGGCACCGCCGTGCGCCCGTTTTACAGATGAGGAAGACTGAGTCCTTTGTGCTGTTTCTCTTTGCTTTCCTCAGGAAGCCGCCTGGACCGTCACGGACGAATGCATCCAGTTAATGGGTGGGATGGGTTTCATGAAGGTGAGTAAACTGGAAGAGTCCCCGCCCACCATAGACAGACATGAAGACAGAGCTTTTAATGTTAAGTTTTTTGAAGTACCGTGTTCACTTGGGTCACTAACTTCCCACTTATTACTTATTATTTATTTTTGCAAGCATGTGTTTAAAATAATGCCCCAAAACGGGGGGAAATGGGCCCAGATATGCTCCCCAAACCAGACACTTGAGACATACTGAGTAAATGCCACAGCTAAGCATAATATGACATTCCACTTTGTTACATTACTTAATACCTTGCTTTTTACTGATGCCCCAAAGGGGTAAAAGCTTGAATGCATGCCTTCACAATCTAGGTTCATGGTTCCGCCTCTCCCCTTCTCAGAGATTATTTGCAGCCACTCGAGCAAGGCTTGGGCGCTCTGTCCATGCCCAGAGGTGTTTCCTAACAAATCCACTTTGCCCGTGGCTCCAAACAATCTCTGCGATTGTGCTACTGGAAGTAGATCGGGGAGCCCGGTTCCCATGTGGCTTCACTTGTTCCCTGTGCCGTCTGTCATTTCCGCCCGACTCCTCCCTTTCAGGAGGCTGGCGTGGAGCGTGTCTTGCGTGACCTAAGGATCTTCCGGATCTTCGAGGGAACCAATGACATCTTGCGACTGTTTGTGGCGCTCAACGGATTCCAGGTGGGTGGCTGGCAGGCAAGGGAGGGAGGGAAGAGGAGAAATCCAAGGGTGGGGTGGGAGCAGTCAGAATTTGGGGAAGGGATGAGAAAAGTGTGTCGCTGCTTTATCCAGCCCGGTATCATCCCGGTGCGTTGGATCACAGTTCCCAGAATCCACCCATCAGCTGTCACAAGGACCCCCTTGAGTGACTCAAATGGCGTCCAGACAGTAAAACCCGGCCGTCTGTATTCAGTTGGCAAAGTATCTCTGTTCCCTGGGATGCTATTTTCCTGTTGTGATGGATGGGTGTGAAGGAGCTGTCTTCTCCTGTGCCTTTCTCTCTCCCTTCTTGAAACCCATTTGGTGGCCATGAGTTCCACCTGATAATTCCTCCTTGCCTTAGCATCTTGAACCCACTTCTTGTCACTTTTGGTGGCTGATCAGGTTAGGCAAGGAGGGGCAAGCCGTGCCTTTCTCTCTCTGTGCTTTGCTGGCCGTAATTCTGTCAATCTCTTATCACGCTGTACTTTTCCCCCCCAGTCCAGGTTTCCTCAACTTGGTTGGTCAGTCTGGCAGGGGACAATGGGGGGTGTTGTTAAATAGATCCGAAGAGGCCTGTTCTGGACCCTCCTTGCTTTCCTAAAATTAAAAAGGATTGACATCTGAGACCTTCTCTTTTGCTCGTCCCATAGGGAATGTGGTTTGGGCAAAGCACAGAGATTCAAATTTTCAAAGTCTGTGTGATACACTAGAAGGGCAGGCAGAGGAGAGGCGTGTGTGTATGTGTGTGTGTGTATGTATGTATGTACGTGTATGCATGTCTTGTTGACAGAAAGAAAAATAATCAGGTGAGATTACGATGACGACAAGAATAAGAATGAACTGCAGAGCCGGAAGGGACCCTGTGAGATCATCTAGTCCAGCCCCTGTCAAGAAGGCACCGTGGGGGGGGGAATCAAACTCCCAACCTCTGGCTCTGTAGCTGGAGACCTCAACTCCTGAGCTAGCGGAAAACCTTTCTCTGCAGCTTTTTTGAGTCATCAGGAAAACTGTAAAGGTTCCAGGCCGGCCTCTGCCCAGAGCCCCTTCTTTCTTCCCTCTCGTTTGCTGATCTGACTGCTCTCGTCTCTTCTTCAACGCAGAACGCGGGGAGCCAGCTGCGTGGCTTGCAACACGCCGCCAAGAATCCCTTCGGAAACGCCGGGCTCCTGGTCACCGAGCTCGGGAAGCGAGTGCGCAGGTAGGGAGTGGGGCGGCCTCTCCCACAACGGTTCGGTCGTGGCCGGGGTTAAATCTAAGCCTCCCGTGTGCGGACCTGCGCGCTCAGTCCAGACGCTCGGGGAAGGCTCATCACACGCTTTTCCCCGGTAGCCAGGAGTCGCCTTGCTTCTTCATTTCACTAGCCACGCTGTTAGCCCACACGGCAGCTTTCTTTTGCCAGATATAAGTTTGATTTTGAGAACTCTGTCACCAGATAGAAGTCCGGCAGCAGCACGGCGAGCCCTTCGAGGATGGTTTCCAGACCAATCCCACCTCCCTGGAAATCCTGTGGGGAGCTGATCCTGCCTGGGATTTTAGGGAAGAGTTGGGATGGGAGAGCTGGGATCCAGAAACTCGGGTTCTTACAGTGGAACTTAGAACTTAGAAAAGTTACTTTTTTGGATTATAATGCCCAGAATCCCCACCTAACCCAGCATGGCTGCAGTCCACCCCCCCCAAGTTCTCTTCTCTTTTGAGATCATTCCTAACTTTGCAAACCATTCCACCGTTCCTGCTGCAATATCTTTCCAGTTTTGTGAACTCTCTTCCTCTCTCTCCCGCCCCCCCCCCGGCCGCCCCCTGATGCTGTGTCTGCCCCTTAGTTGTGTTTTCTCTGGCGAAATCTCTCTAGACCCCACTGCTCGGGTTTCTGTGTGAGTTTGGGCAAGGCCGGAGGCAGCCCGGCTGTGGGGGGAAGTCTCATGGTTTCTTTGCGTCTGCTTCTTTTCCAGGAAAACTGGTCTGGGATCAGGGATTTCCCTGAAGTCTATCGTGCACCCTAGCTTGGATTCAAGCGCCGAACGGGTACGTGTGTTGCAGCTGATTTCCTCGAGGGGGGGGTGGGTTCCCACTGGAGAAAAAAAGGGGGTTGCCAGTGAACACCGCGAATTGAGAAAAAAAGCCCCGGGGATATCACCCTTCCCTTGCACTCCACGTGTGACTTCTTGAACACCGCGAATTGAGAAAAAAGCCCAGGGGATATCGCCCTTCCCTTGCACTCCACGTGTGACTTCTGAAGAGGCTCTCGATGAAATCCTGGGAGACCGCATTACCACCGTGTAAAGTGTTATTATTCTCTCTGGCTGCAGACCCTCTGTCTCCCGTCCCCATTAAATGTATGGAAGGGTTTTCAATTTCTGGCCTTTGTGATCTCCGTAAGTCTGCAGAGCATTTTACAAAACTTTTTAAAAACCCATGCTGTTAATTATGACTTCAGGCACATCCTCTTCATTTGAGGAACCGGTGAGAGGTCCCGTTCTCTTTTCTTTTAAGAGCCAAGGTGGCCAGCGGGCTCAAGTCGGGTGGATCGGCTGGAACTCTGCTGGCTCCCAGCCGGACCATCATCTAAGCCAGCCTCTCTCTGGACCTGAAGGGCTCCAGATATACTGTCGGACTTAGCCGCATGCCCTCAAGCTGCTTCTGACACAAAGCGGCCCTACGAATTGATTATTTTAATTCCATTTTCATCGTTTTACTTTTTTACTGTATTTTAATTCTTGTAAGCCACCCAGAGACCTTTGGGTAGTATGGGCGGCATAGACGTTAAATTAATTAATTAATTAATTAACTCTGACAGATCTCATCCTTAACGGCCCCGCTCAGGGACTTTATTTATTTATTTATTTATTTAGTCCTTAACGGCCCCGCTCAGGTCTTTATTTATATATTTATTTAAAATGATTTCATCCCACCTTTCTCCTCAAAAAAGTACCCGAGGCGGCTTACATCATTAAAAAGACAATATTTAAAAGCCTAGAAACAGGAAGGGCACATGTATTTAAAAAGAAGCATTAAAAAGCTAGTATTGTATTTAATATGATAAATCAAACCAATACTAAAACACATTTCAAACAAGACAGTTTAACGTTCCATTTAAAAAAAAAACCCTCTCAGACCACCAGCCATTAAGGAAAAACCGGCCTGAAGAGAAAGGTCTTTGGGCAGCTGAGGTCTTTTGGTCTCCATATGCTGGCTTGGGGATTCTGGGGGATGTAGTCCAGAAATGTAGCGTTTCTGTGCGGGCTGCCGTTCCAATCATCCCCTGCCAGGTGGAAGAAGGCTGTTCCAGGTGTTTCGAGGTAGACGTTCCTGTTTTACGAGGGCCCTGCGGGGTTTCCCTGTGGGCTGGAGGGGCTGATGGGCTTTGTCGCCTGACCCGTAGGGACTTCGGGTGCTACTCGAGGAAGGCTGTCTTAGATGTTTGGGGGAAGGAAATGCCAGGACCGACCCTGTTTCGTGCTGGGTGCTTCCCCTCCGTTTGGGGGATCCCTCTCCGTGGCCTGGCAGTCACGTCCCGGTAGGCGAGCAGGCCTCCTCTCCTCTCCGCTCGCTGTGCGGGGCTTGTCAAATCTTTCCGCCGCCTGTGCCTCAAACGTCGCTCCTTTTCTTTCTTTCTTTCCTTTTAAAGACCGTCCATGCCATCGATCTTTTCGGGGCCGTGGTGGAGGAGCAGCTCCTGAAACACGGCAAGAAAATTATCGGTGAGTTCCTCTTCTGGGTCAGGGGCCGGCCTCCCCGAAAAGGCCTGATCCTGCTGCCTTGGGGTTGCGGGGGAGTGGAAGAGGTGGAGGGTTTGCTCCCTTGTTTCTTGAGTTAGAGAAGGCGCAGTGCTCGGAAATGTCTCTCTCTCTTTTTTTTACTACAGTTCCCAGAATCCCCCAGCCAGCTGGCTGGGGGATTCTGGGAACTGTAGTCAAAGAAATTCCTCCAAACACTGCCACTAGGCTCTGTGTTTTTTTTGTTTTCTTTTGATTCTAGAACCCAGTGTGAGGGCATGAGGTGGCAAAAATTGGCGATGGAAAGGGGATCAGGATAGAGGCTTGCGTGGGTTTTTTTTGTTTTCTTTTGATTCCAGAACCCAGTGTCAGGGCACGAGGCGGCAAAAATTGGAGATGGAAAGGGGATCAGGATAGAGGCTTGCTTGTTGATCTGGTGAGGGCCTTCCGCCTCCTCCCCTATCCACCCTTACACTGGCTTGACTCAGGAACTAAAAAGCGGAGGAGAATTGATTTTTATTTTTATTTTATTTTTTGCTTTTAAACTATGCTTCTGAACATTTCTTGGGAAATGTAGGAAGCCGTCTTATCCCCCTGGGAGACTCTCGGTGCCTTCTGCTTTTGAGTGTTCTCAACTCCTAGGTTTCAGGGAGGAAGGCTTCCCAACCCTGCCCAGGATTTGAACCTGGGACCTTGTGCATCTCCCACCACTGAGGCTGCGCTTCTTTGCCAGCAGCTGGGGAGGGGGCAGAGATCCTGTAGGGCCGCAGAGCCCCCTTTACAGCTGGGTTCCGTCACGCAAAAGAGTTTTAAAGAGTAAAATTGATTACTGTGATTTGGGAGCCAGGGAGCAAGAAAAACCAGGAATGGCTGAGGCATTAATCAGTGAGAAGATGTGTTTTCCCTTTCCACATGCCTCCGTTTTTTCATGCTACAGTGCAAGGCACTAAACCGGAAGGATAGTAGACCCCCCTAAATGAAGTGGGACTGAAGTCAACGTTCCTGTAAGACCCATTAATTCAGTGGGTCTACTCTAGTTTAATTTGTTTTTTTTTTTCATGCGTTGTTTATTGCGTTTTAATTTCACTTGCTTTAACCTTGGGAGTCACCTTGAGTTCTCCTATGGAGAGAAATGCAGCTTATAAAGGAGACAGGCTGGCCAGACAAACAAACAGTAGTTGGAACTACCCATTGGAACGGCCTGGGGAGAGAAAGGGAGGCGGTGCCTGCCTTTAATACCTCAGTAGAACTTCCCTGTTCAAGAGCAGCCTACCTCTCATTCCAAAGCTTGGCCAAGAAATGAGATAAAAGTGGTCTTTATTCCTGGCTTGGGAAAAGTGTCTAACTCAACTTTTTGCCGCCTAGTGACCTCCAGAGGGGTTGAATTCCATGTCCCATAATCCCCAGCCAGCTCAGCCCATCTTGGGGACACCAGATCAAGGAGGAGCGGTCTGGTCGTCTGTGGTTGGACTCAGGCAGGGCCCTGTTTATATTCTTAGATTGAGATCCTTGTAGAGGATGCTCTTGATTACAAGAAGGAGGCAGGTGATAAACAAGCTCTCTGTTATACCAATGTTTCGAGCTGCCTACGGCGTCTGTCTTCCTCATATAATTGCTTTTTTTGCATGTGTACCTTCCCTCTCCTCCCCCCCCAATTCTGGTCCTGGAAAAAACCCTCCCCACCAGATGAACAGTTTGTGCTGAAGCGCATCGCCGACAGCGCGATCGATCTGTACGCCATGGTGGTCGTCCTCTCCAGGTGAGCCCAACGGCCCGGATTTTCCTCCTCTTCATGCCTCAACGCCGGTCCCCACTCGGCTAAAAACGGCAAAACTTTCCTATCTGACAAATTCCATGGGGGGTGGAGAAGGAGCAGTAATTCCAGGATTTCCTGTTGCAGCAAAACCAACCAAACCTCTCTTGGTCCCCATAAAGTCTACCCCAGTTTAATATGGCAGCAGCTTTCATGGACCGCAGCTCACAGCAATATCCCTTAAAGCCTTGGTGGTTGTAAAATTCGGGAGTCTTTAAGGACCTGGAAGACGTTTGGCAGATTCTTTCATGTGGTGTGACAAAAATGGAGAGGAGAGGGTGGTTGACGGGCAGAGGAGAAACAGCATTTACCAGTTCGTTTGCTCATTTCTGTGTACAGAGCGCTTAGATTCAGAAATTCCAAAATGGGAACAGAGCAGCAACAGAAGAGTCTTTCATAAGGGCTAGGATCTTGCTCACACGTGCCCTTGCGTAAGGGCAGTTGTGCGAGCGTTTCCCAGCGCCTGGCCGAGCTGGTTGTGCATTCCGCCGGTTGCGCACTCATTGCAAAGTTGTGCCGGGGAAGGGCCATCCACTGGAGTGGGGGGAAAATCCAGGGTTGAGGTTGGGGAACCACCATCAGGACAGCCAGGAAAAAAAAGGGGGGGGAGAGGGTGTGAAACCAAACGGGGGCCAACGGGAATACATTTCGGAACTTTTAAACATTAGCAGCCTTTCAAGATGAAAGGTGTCTCCCCCCAAAAAAGTTGGGAAACTAGAGAAATTTCCACACCCAACACGTTTAGTGCTAACTTGAAAAAGAAAAGCAAAACTGGTCTTTGGCTTCATAAGTAGTAATAAAATTTCTAATTAAATTTTTAAAATAAAAATGTCTAACAAAATTTGAACCAGAAACATCTTCGTTCTATAAGATGATTTTAAATTCACACTCCCTTCTGCACCAAAACCTCTGTTTCCCCCTTCCCCCCCCACTCGCCGATTCCAAAAAGTGCCGACCAGTTCTTCCCGGAGGAGTTGGGGGCTGGCAGGATGGGTTGTTGAGCACCCACTAACTTCCTGTTTGACTTCTCTTGGATTATCTCATTATTTTTTCTCCCACTTCCCGATAGGGCATCCCAGTCTTTGGAGCACGGCCAGGCGACAGCCCAGCACGAGAAGATGCTCTGTGACACCTGGTGCATCGAGGTGAGCTTCCCCGGCTGTTGTGCCAAAGAGGGCAAGGCATCCCCATCCTCGAGAACGGCGCTTCGCCTTTTCCCTGCTGGATTTTAGGAGTTGGAACAACCAAGCCCGGGAATCCGGCGGTCTGCGACTGGGGTCCAAAAACTGCTTTTTAAAATTTTGTGTGGGGCGAGGCAGTGCTTGGAGGGGCCAGGTTGGAGGGACCGAAGTTTAATTTTTCACGGAATAATAAATCTTGTTGGGTGCCCAGGGCTCTCAGCCGAACACTACCTCACAGGGCTGCTGTTGAGTGTAAGATAGAACCAGTGGCCAGGATTTAGAACTGACGGTCAAGAGGCAGCCATTCTGGATCAATGGTAGTGGTTGGGATGATGGTCCTGCCTTGCAGAAAGGCAGGTCCCTGCCCCAAGGCGCTTCCTGTCTAAAGCTGGATACAGGAGAGAAAACGGAGGGTGGATGAGGCACAAGGTGGGCAAAAGGATGGGGGGAGAATGTGTCCTTATTTCAGGGGAATGTCGGTCCGCTTAGTGCCCGGAGGGACCCAGCGGGGAGGGCTTTCACCAGAGACCTTTGGATAAAAGAAATAAATGTGGACGTTGAACCTCTTCGGTGGACGAAGGATAGCAGAACTGGGGAGGGGGGGGCTGTGAGTCACAGAGGCTCCAAGCCTGTAAAAGTAACTTTTGGGACTGCACCTCTTAGCCTCTCTCGCCAACATGAGCCGTCTCCTGGCCCAGAAGTGACCGGCGGGCTACACGCCCGCGGACCTTTCCAAAATGCAGCCGTGCCTGGTCAAAACCCAACTTTCTGCCAGTCGGAAGGTGCCCGACGGTTGAACGGACAGGTTTCCTCGGCGTGGAAGCTCAAAACCAACTCAAAACTCAGTTCTGTAAATGTACTCCTAGACAAGGGAGAAGAGGCATCCCTTCTGGACGCCTCTTCTCCTTTTCTATAGACTTGGGGTTCTCTCTCTCTCTCTCGTTCTTTAGTCCCCCTGATCAGATTTGATAGATTTTTCTTTGGACGACCACCAGCACAAGACTCTTGTCTTCCCCCCTCGGTCCTCCTTTGATTTTTTTCCTCCTCTGCTCTTCTCTCCCACAGGCCCACGACCGGATCGTCCAGACGCTGACCTCCCTGCGCTCCGACACCACCCGGCAATTTTTCAAGAACCTCCGGGGCATCTCCAAAGCCCTGGTGGAAAACGAAGGGGTCATTTCCCCCAACCCTCTGGGCATCTGAGAGGCGTCCCCCAGGCCCTGGAGTTTGGTCCTACATGCGTGCGCACATATAACACAAGCTTCTGCAGATGTAAGGTTGACAGCCTGAAGATCTGGGATGATGAGGGGCTGGATTGGTCCACGGTTTGCTCTCCATTCTAAGAGGGCCGGTGCCTGTTGGCGAAAGACGCCTTTTTCCTCCATAAAATGCCTTAATACACACCTGCAAGCCTTTTTGCAAGAGACGACAGGCCCCACTCACACTGGGAAGTTTGAGAAGTAGCCTTAACGTTTGGTTCAATGGGGAAAGCTCCTTCCTCCCAGAATCCCCCAACTAATGGCCAAGCTAGCTGGGGAATCTTGGGAACTGTTTTCTAAAAACAGGACTTCCTCCCACCATCTCTGCCTCGGGTTCTCTCTTTGGCTTTCCATATGGGTGTGGGTTTTTTCCCCCCCTTGGCACATGGACACCCCTCAAACTTGGCTCGTTGACCCCCTACCTCCCTCCACCCCCAGCTAGAACTGTGGAAGCAACAGACGCCTCTTGATTTTTTTTTTTAAAAGGGAGCCAACCTCTGGAACCAACAGCCTGCTTGTTTTTGTTGACGGTGCAGAATGCGCCGGGAGAGGAAACTTTAGCCATAAGATGGGGGAGCCTTGGTCTCAAGTTCTCTTGTTTCCTGTTGTTGTGTTTTCTGGGAATAACGATTAAATTCCTCGGACAAACAAACGTCTGGAGTATTGGCCTGTGAGCTACTGTTGTCTTCCAGGAAATTTCCAACTGAAGTGCAAAGGTGCCAAAAATACCCACACACACACACACACACACATGTGCATGTGTCTTCTGCAGAGGAGATGGTGCAGAGCAAGGCCTTCACAGAGGGTGTAACGGGGAAAGGGTTGCAATACGAATGTTTGCAAGACTTTGAAGGAGATGCAGCAGAGGAAACCGAACAGACCCCTCTGGGCGATTTTTCAGAAGTGTGGGGATGTGAGGCATGGGTGGATGGGAGCGGGGGACGCCCCAGAGGCTGCTGGTTTTTATGTTTTTATCCTACACCTCTTTCAAGCTCATAGAGGCCCATTTTGGCCCGCTGAGCGCAGGGTGAGGTGTATGGGTTTTGCGATTCTCTATGCCCAGTGAAACCCGATTCTCTCATCTTCTGTCTGTATGCTGGATTCAGCCTGCAGGCAGAGTTTCCCCTCCTTATTCTACAGAGCTGACCGCTGAAACTTAACTTGTGTGGCCCTACAGTTTTGTGGATACTCACTAGGGCCAGAGTGAAGGAACAAGGAGGCAGGAGGTCTGGTTTCGAATTCCCACTTGGCCATGGACACTAACTGGGGGCGCATGGAACTGGTAAAGCCACCCCCGAAATATCTCGTTTACCTTTAAAGCCCTCTGAGGGTCCCTATAAATCGGTTCCAACTGGGCGGCACATAACAACAATACCATTTTTGTAGGCAAATGGTGTTGACCAAGAAGTATTTTCTAGTGTGATCCGAGTGTTTTGATCCAGCTTAAGATCTTCTTATTCTCCTTAAAATGGATTGTCCTCCTGTTTCATTAAGAACGGAATTTGGTCAGTTGAGGCTTCGTTCGTCAATGAATAAGATTCTTAAGATGCCCGAACGTCACTCTTATTAGTCAAACCTGCTTTTGGAACGTGTTCACTCACCCCTGCAAAGTCTTAATGAGAATGTTCAAATTGCTTTAGAACCCAAGACCTCTTCTTGAGTGGGGCTTTCCAAGAAGACTACGTTCCCCAGCGTGCCGTTGGGGGTGGGTGAGGGGTCAGAGTTCGCCATCTGTCTGGCAAATCTTTTAAGCTGGCAGATGTTTCGGAGAGAGATTAGGAGATTAAGCTTGTACATGTCGAAACGGCTTGCGCCATGCCCGTGAAAAAGCAAGGTAAGGGGGCTTCCCTGCACTTATTTTTTCGCCCCACCTTTGGCAAATGTGTCCTGTCTTGTTGCGAATATTTCGGGGTCCTGGTTTGAGGAGGGGGCGTGAGCTGCTCCCTCTTCTGCCCCAAACTTGCATCTCTTTTAAAGCTGCTCTATGTTTGCTGTTCTACTTTTAAACCAGAGGGTCTGGGGGGAAAATCTGATCCGTGGATGTCTTCTGGAGATAAATGGTCACCGATTAATTACCTCTTGATACTGATTCATGAGGCCGCTGTGGACGAAAAGTTGGGATCTGGGTGGACCCAGTCTTTTCCACTGACGGTGCTGGTTGGTTTGATCCCAGTGGCTTTCCCAACCGACGTCCACCCTATGGGGCGCAGAACGGGCTTGAGGGGCGCTTGCTCATGGCTGCTTCTACATCCCGGAGGCCCTGGGTCCAAATGTCTGCACGGCTGGCCACGCTCCAGCTCTCTGCAGCCCAAGCTTCCGTTCCTCAGCTGTTTCCACCCTGGTGTTGGGCCCTGCCGCTCCAGAGGATGATGGAAGATGTAGTCCAACACATTTGGAGGGTGTCAGGATGGGGAAAAGGAGCCGTGGTGTGACTCGGTGGAAAGGTATCACTGTAAACCTCCATTGCTACCGATGTGAGGGGTGGGGTACACCTCAGCTGTGTTTCCAGAAGGAAGTGGAGTACTGAACATTTTGGAAGGTTCTAAAGGAAGGAGTGAGTGAAATGGCTCTCTGTGTGTGTGTGTTTCTGTGTGTGTGTAGCCAGAATTTGGGAGCTCGAAACCCCATGATGCTTCCTGTGAGTAGACCTAAGCTGTGTAACCTTGGCCAAGCTGCGGAGTCGTCCCTGGGATTTTCCTCCAGAAGAAGGGAAGGAAAAACCACTTCTCTAGCTAGAAAACCCTGGAAAGGGTGGCCAGAAGTCAGAATTAAATTGAAAGTGAGAAATTATATTAATTCACGAAGAGTTGGTATTCTGCACTGGCCAGGATTGTGCGTAGAGTTGCCGGGGGGGGGGGGACCGAGGCCAATTATATTAATTCATGAAGAGTTGGTATTCTGCACTAGTCAGGATTGTGCGTAGAGTTGACCGAGGTTCATGATCTGCTCCTTGACCATTTTTCCATGGGCTTGGGTGGAAGCTGGTCCATGGATAGCGTTGGCCCTTAGCAAAGCGGAGCCTGCTTGGCGGGTGGCAAGCCTGAAAGAGGGAGGGAGGAGGAATCGGCCGGTGAGTTTGGCCTCCCTCCCACCACCACCACCCCGGTCTCTTGCAAGAACATCTGCTTTGTGATTTTGAGCCGGTTGGACGTTCAGCCCCTCTTTATTAAAAGATCACACCGTGGGAATCTGAGCTTGGTAGCAGGACTTTTTCTAAATGTGGGTGAGGTGGGGCAATTCCTCAACGGGTGGAGCACCGGTGATCCATAGGGTCCCTTGTAGCTCTGCAGTTCTAAGATGATGACGATGAGATGATGCTTATTAATACTGCAAAGCCTAGTGTAGCTGGGGAGCTTCATAACGGATGAGCCGGGAGTTCCACGCCGCTTCCCAGTTGATTGTGAATTTTGAACAGCCTTGGTGTCTCCAGGGTAGGCCAACGGCCCAGCCTTTTTCCATTCCTCCGTTTCTATAGACCGCTTCCCAAGGTCCACGTTTAGCCTGCTGCGACGCCAACGTTGATTGTGAATGTTGAACAGCCTTGGTGTCTCCAGGGTAGGCCAACGGCCCAGCCTTTTTCCATTCCTCCGTTTCTATAGGGGCGGCGGGGGGGGGCGGTTTTGTGCCCTGCAGCCTCTCCAATGTGACTGCCGTACGCCTGGGTGCGTGACAGCGTCGGTGCCGGGAAAGCATCTTCTGGACTGGAAGCGCATTCCTCCGTTTCTATAGGGGCGGCGGCGGGGGGGGGCGGTTTTGTGCCTTGCAGCCTTTCCGATGTGACTGCCGTACGCCTGGGTGCGTGACAGCCGTCGGTGCCGGGAAAGCATCTTCTGGACTGGAAGCTTCGGTCTGCTGCTTATCTGCCACCCCGTAGTGCTTTGAGCACTCTCTGGGCGGTTTGCATTTTAATTATGCAGGCGACCCATTGCACCCAAACCCCTAGCAGCAAGCTGGGTGCTCCGTTTACCGACCTCAGAAGGATGGAAGGCTGAATGAACCTCGAGTCAGCCGGATTGATCACAGATCGTGAGCAGAGTTTTCACTGCAGTTTAACCAGGATCGTGAGCAGAGTTTTCGCTGCAGTTTAACCACTGCACCGCTTAAGGATATCAAAAACATACTTTTTTCCAAAGGCATTTTCCAGAATCTCACACTCCCCTAGGTAGATTATGGATACTAAAGTCCAAAAGAGGGGATTCTGGGAGTCGTAGTCCAAAAAGCTGAATTCTCTAAGCTCAGGTGGGTGTGGAGTTCTCTAGTGCGAGGCTGGAAGCGCAAAGGGCTCAGATGCACACACAACTGTGTTGTGTGCATGTTTTGTGTGTGCACCCTCCCAGGCACGTACCCGGGAGGGGGTGCACTTAAAACGGCACTTAAAATGCCTCGTGCTGCCGTTTTCATGGATATAGAAGCACAGAGGAGTCCGCAGAACTGCTTTTGCTGGATGGAGGATGATGGGAACTGTTGTCCAGAAAAGAAACTGTTCCAAGCTGTGGCCACACAGCTGGGGTATCTAGATTTGGGGTGAGGGTGGAGGGATCCAGTGCATCTCTTCAAATCTTGTTCAATGGCAGCTTCCACTATGTCTCACCATTGGCTCTGCTGGCTTTGGCCGATAGGTTTTGTAGTCCAAAGGCATCTGGAAGGCCATGTTTAATGAGCAAAACCCAGGAATGAACATTAGTTCTTCTAATGGGAGTTAAAACAAAAAGCGAGCAAGTAAAAGCATACAATAAAATCTGACTGTGAAAGCCAGTGGGGTGTCATAGGTGGAGAATCTGACTAGGAGTCAGGTGTCTTGGGTTCAAATTCTGTCTTGCCCCTGGAAGCTCGCCAGTGGAGTGTCTGTGGGATACTGGTAAACCCCTCTTTAAATATCTTATATGCCTAAAAAACCTGCTAGGTTTGCCTTAATCCAGAAGAAATGTGAGGGCACAGAAAAAGCAACCAAAATTTGACGGGCGCCATAAAAATAACGTGTGACGCAACCATGTTGGTATGTGTTGTGAAGTTGCTTCTGACATGGGGTGATTCTATAAATTGGGGATCACCGAAAGGTCTACTCGGGAACATCCCTGCTCAGTTCTTGCAAAGCCAAAGCTCCAGTTTCCACGACTGAGTCAAAACATCTCATGCTTAGCCTTCCTCTTTTCCTGTTTCTTCATTTTCTCACCTTTTTTTAGCACAACTGTCTTGTCTTCTCATAAGATGCGCAAAGCACATTACCTTCAGTTTAGTCATTGTTTGCAAACAAGCCCGGCTTGGATCGGATTTGATCTGGAACCTGATTGTATGTCTTCTGGGTGGTCCGTGGGGCCCCGAAGCTGTTTCTCCAACGCCGCGTTTCAGTTCATAAAATATTCTATACACAGCACGAACGGAACGGCTTTGGTGCAAGAGAGCAGCCTGAGCTGAACGAGGAAAGCCAAAGAAAGAGCTTTAAACACTGAGAGCCAAATTAAATGTTCAGAGGGGAAT